TATATATATTCATTCTTTTGGCTTATATCTGTACACACATTCCTTTGGCACTGAAAGTACAGAATCATTCAAAAACCAAACTGACAATGGAGTGTTAAAGGGACAAGGGACCCAATTAAAAGTGGTCCCAAGGGCTAAAGCTGATAGAATTTGAAAATGAAAATAAATCACATAGCATTGGCTTTAAACTCTAGTCGTGGAATAAATATACAAGAGCTCATACTGATAGAAATTATTGGAGATTGATAAATGGAGACTAGACAAATCTAGAGAATTTCCAATAAATGTGTAAACACTGCCCCCTCAAGGAAGTGGAGTGTAACTGCTTAAGTGTGGACGTCTCCAAAGGAAAGGAGGAAGAGTCACTTTATCCAAGCACTGCGTTGGCTATGATCAAGAATAACACCAACAAGGATAGGTTTATAACCCACCCTTGCTCTGACATGCTGAGAATGGTCCTTTCCCTCTGTGGTTTTCTTTCCCCAAAGCCATGCCCCAGTCTAATCACCCAAATTCAGGAACAGTCTACCACATGGGTGACCATCTCTAAACTGTCGAGGCCATCTAAAACGAGGAAGGGCGAAATCACCAGTCTAGAGAAGCCTGAGGCGATAGGATGTCTCAATGTAATGGAGGTAATGTGTTCTCCAGAATGCAATCCTGGACCATAAAACGTGCATTAGATAAAGACCTAAGCAGATCTAAGTACAGACTTCGTTTAATAATCATGTATCGATGTTTGTTCGTTAACAATGTCACCATGTGCACTGTGCTCTCTTAACTAATCAATTTGTATGAGTGCAAACAGTTAACATTTACCCTAAGGAATAGAAGGGCAGGGAAGCTCAGGAAAAACGACACTCACTGCCATCGAGTTGGTTCTGACTCCTGGTGGCCCTATAGGACAGAGCAGAACTGGCCAGCCTCATCTTTCTCCCTCAGAGTGCCTGGTGGTTTCGAACTGCTGACCTAGCCATTGTTAGGAGCCCAACAGGTAACCACTATGTCACCAGAGCTCCTAGATCAATGGAAACAGAACAAACAGAATGGAAATAACTAGAATGCTGACATTGTGAAAAATGTAACCAATGTCACAAAACAATTTGTCTACAATTATTAAGTAGGAACTTATTTGCTATTTAATGTTCACCCAAAACACGACAAAATATCAGTAAACTTATAGTTTCTTCGGCTATAAGAAATGTATTATATTATAAGAAGGTAAGATGTTAACAGTATGCAATGGTTCAAACCCACCAGCTGCTTCTTGGTGACGAGGCTTTCCACTCCCATAAAGAGGGACAGTCCTGGAAACCCACAGTTCTACCCTGTCCTGTAGTGCCACTCTGAGTCACAATCCCCTTGATGGCAGTGATGGCTATTTTTAGTAGCCCTGGTAGCGTAGTGGGTTACATGTTGGGCTGCTAACCACGAGGTCAACAGTACAAAACCACCAGCTCCTCGGGAGGTGAAAGATGAGGCTTTCTACTCCTGCAACAAGTTATAATCTCAGGAACCCACAGGGCAGTTCTACTCTGTCCTATAGGGTTGGACTATCCATAGGAATCAATTTGATGGCAGTGAGTTTGGGTTTTTTTAGTTATACTATCTTTGCACCTTTTTTATATAAATAGAAAACGGTTTTTAAAAGTTTTAAATGCTTTTAAAAGATAGAAATGTTGAGGCAGGACTCAGCTTCATTTTTTATCCTTTTAATCATCGAGGTGATTCTGATGCTCACAAAAGTTTGAGAATTCCTGCACTAGATCACTTTGTGTTTTTGATTTCTAGGCCTGATGTATAGCTTTAATACATTTCTTATATTGATAGATTTCACCTTGATTTTGTGCATATTTTTAGTTTAAGGCTGACTTGAAACCATATGTGATACTTGGATATGGGTAGACCAAAAAAAATGTACTTCTGCATAGTTACCCTAATTTTGAAAGAGTTATTTTTTATAACTGAAATACTTCTACTGTAGAAATATATTGCCTACACTAAAAAAAAAAAAGATAGAAATGCATCATGATTTGACCCAAAACAATAGTCTAGTGGAATTTTTCTGAGAGGAGGAGAATACTAGAAAATACCATCACTAAATGACGGTGCTTTTTTTCTTGATCACTCCAAATACGCAGTTGTTTCTAGTAAAGTGTAATGTAACTTACTGTACCAGTTTTGTTTCTTTGCTGAGCAAGCATAGACTATCATTCTAGGGAAGGAACCCTTTGACCTCGGTGCTGAGATTAGCCTGAAGGTCAGCAGTTTGAACCCAAGGAAAGGAGATTTCGGGCTTCTATAGAGACTTTTTTTTTTTTTAATGGGACAAGGACCTGACAAAGGCATCGTCCGCAAAGGAGGGAGACCTTTGGGACGAGGCTATGATGGCACCCAACAGTGTGCGGGTAACAGAACTTTACAAACGCATGTTTGGTGGCAGATCACCAACACAGCACAATTACAGGTGGTATCGCTGCCATGGGAATGGGCCCTGATTGGGATACGTTTGTGGTGGCAGACAGAAGCGCTGACAGTATTGGTCCAGGGTCTCTGCAAGGCAGTCAGGAAAGGGTGATCTCCTTCAAGAACACCCTCAGGCAAGCCTCCAAGGGAGCCGCCCCTCCTGCGCTGGTCCGAGGATGGAGGTAATGCCCTTTCCAACGCACTCGTAAGGTGAACACACAGTCTTGGAAACCTTATGGAGTCCCACTGCCAACAAGTCGCTGCTGACTCATAGCAATGCCTGGAACAGCGCTATTCTATCCCATAAAATGCACCGGAGTGGAACTGATTTGAAGGCAGTGGTTAGAGCTCTTCGCACGTGCACCTCACAGGTCTTTCTCAGAACTGCTGGGTGGGTTCAAAGCGCCGGTCTTGGGCTGGCGGGAGAGCTCTTAGCCGTCAAGGCTCCTGGGGGAGAAGGCTAAACCAAGCCAGGCCAACGAAACACCTGCTGCAGAGTCCACTGCTGTGGAACAGAGGGTCGCTCTTTGGGGTTTCCACAGATGTAAATATTTACAGAGGCAGACGGCCATGTTTCTCCTGCTGAATGGAAACTAGCAGGTTAGAACCTCCGACTCTTTGTAACAGCTGGGCCCTTTAACCACTGGGCAACCAGGGCTTCTTGGGAATAGGGTAGAGGCAAACAAATCGGAGTGACTCTAAACTCCATCAAGCACCTTGTAGGGACTCTGTAGGACAGAGAAATGCCCCTGTGGGTTTTACAGCCTAAATCTTACTGTGAATAAAAGCCTCATCTCTCTTCCAGAGTGAATGGTGGTTCCAAACAACTGACCTGGTGGTTAGCAGCCCAGGACGTAACCCACTCCACCATCAGGGCTCCTAAGAGTAGCCCAAACAGTCAAAATTTAGGTGTGAGCAAGAGGCTGCAATAAAATTGTATCTTGTTTCTGGATTTGCTGGAAAAGGCAGGTTTTCAACTTAACATCAACGTGAACTTTTCTACAATTTGGCTGCTCACTCAAAAAGGGTGGCCATCACTGGCTGTGTAGACAGTATCCCTGCACCCTTCCCTCGGAAAATCTTACATAAAAGTTTATGCGATAAGACATGGTACAGTGCAGAAGATGGCACAGAATCAAATCTGGATCTGCTCTGAGTTGTGAAAACAATGCTTCTCCCACTGTAAGGAGCACACATATCCCCAGGACAGACTGTTCACACCATGTCTGAGATGGGGCCTCAAGATTATGACAATGCTGTAGGTGTGTGGGGCACAGGTTGAGTAGCAAGTCTAGTAAGGACCGAGACGGGCATATAATTACAAAACAAACAGTTCTTTCCTAAAGGTAATTTTCTTTCTTTCTCAAGGTCTAGCCTCCACTCTTCCAAGTCTTCTCTGGAGGCCCAATAGACTGGCTGCTACCTCCTTGTCAGTCCTCCAGCACACAGTTTAAAGCTCCAGAATCCACCACGGCTTCCTTTTGGGGACTTGGAAGTCCGTTTCCTATTTACTTATAGGAGTTCTTCTAAAAGATCAATGATCGCAATCATCAGTATGAATTACAACTTAATGTAAAGAAAACTAAAATCCTCATAACTGGGCCCTACGTAGCATGGTGATAAACTGGGAAAAGACTGAAGTTGTCAAGGATTTCATTTTGCTTGGACCCGGAATCAGAGTTCATGGGAGCAGCAGTCAAGAGATCAAATGTCCAAAACATTGCATTGGGCAAATCTGCGACACAAGGCCTCTTGAAAGTGTTTAAAAGCAGGGGTGTTACTTTGAGGACTGAGGTTTCGCCTGACCCAGACCATGGCATTGTCAATCGCCCCGTGTGTGTGTGTGTGTGTGTGTGTGTGTGAGAAAGTTGGACACTGAACAAGGAAGACCAAAGGATAATCAATGTATTTGAATTGTGGTGTTGGTGAAGAATATGATAAGAACCACCACTGCCAAATGGACAAACCAACCTGAAGTACGACCCGAGTTCCGCCTTAAGCAAGGATGGGGAGACTTTTTGAGCCGCTTCATCCAGCAGAGGGCATGAGAAGGGGGCAGGCTCCAGCCAAAGAACAACGTTCTTCCGTTGGGCACGGGGTCGCTATGGGCTGGGACGCACTCGTTGACCCAGAAGAGGCCTTCTTCGGGAGCGCTGCGCAGAAAACGTTTCGGCGGACGTGGCGCCGCGGG